AGGTTTTTTTTTTTTTTTTTTTTTTTGTCTTTTGTCTTTTTCCGTGTCCGGCAATGGATCGCAACCCTCAGTGTTGCCCCCATACCGGACCGGGGACCGGCAACGAGATCGCAACCCTCGGTGTTGCTCCCGCGCCTCGCTCAGCCAGTGAGCGGGAACCGGTCTGTATGTGGGATCCGAACCCTCAGGCGGGAGCACCGCCACGCTTCCCAAGTGGCGCACTATCCAGTGCGCCACCGGGCCGGCCCAAATCCAGGAGGTTTTTGCTTATTGTCCAAAATTTATTATTTCTTTTAAAAGCCTAAAGTATTTTGATTGAGTCATTGAGTATCAGTTAACATAATATAAGATATTATATTAATTTAGAAAGCTTTGGATTGTTTTCTACATAACTCTTTATGTTTTACATAGAATATATAACAAAACATTAGAAAGCACTTTGACATGGCAAAAATTAATTTACACTGAATTAAATTTTTATAATTTTATAAATTATTAGTTTTATGATTTTATAAGTAGTTAAAATTATAACAATTTTATTATCTCTTCTTCATTCTACACAGAATCCAAGAATATGGAGGTTTTTCCTTTTTACAAAACTATAGTATAAGTTTTCTGTATTTCTGTAGAAACATACAAGCAAACAGAAAGGACATTGTTGGGTGGGAGGGAGGAGAGGGAGGAGGGAGGGGGGGTTTTGGTAATGGGCCACAATAATCAAACACATTGTATATCAACAAAATAAAATTTAAAAATAAAAATAAAAAATTTAAAAAATGTTATTATAAGTAACTGCCACCAGATGGCACACATGTCAATGTTGTTACAATCCCTGAAAATAAGGATTTGTTTTTCTAATGATGTTGATGCTCACCGAAGTTTAAGTTGTTATGGATGCTAGAAAAAGAAAATACCTTTAAACTGTAAAACAGGATCAAAGTATATAAAATAATCTATAGAAGGAAGGGACTTCTTGGATCCAGATAAAATATTTTTGCAACAAAGCTACAAATGATTTAGACATCTATCAACTAATAAACTGTATAGTTGTAACACCAAGGACAAGGATTTGGATCCCTGTACCAGCCAGCTGTGAAAAAATAAATAAACACCACACAAAGAAACTCTGTACAATAAGTCACGCTACAGAGCAAAATTTTCTCTACTTTCTACCTAGGTACAATGCTCTTTATAAATTATCTAATGATATGCCTAAAAGAGCTAAAGTTGCTCTTTGCTTTCTTCATCTTCTTCCATATCAAATTATCATAGTCATCTCTAATAGGATATCGCTTTTAATTTGAAACTACCCAGTAAAACAAAAAAAAAATGCATAACATGCAAAAATCCAGAATTATAAAAGAGACAAAGTATGAAAATGAAGGTCTATGGAAGATAAAAATTCCACACAAAACACCGAACACATATTCTCATCACTAACTTACTACAAAAGGGCAGGAAATCAGTTCTTCTCCTTCCAGCTCTTGTGAGAAGAGAATTCAATTCTGAGCAATATGTTCAACTCATTATAGCCACATGACTGCACAACAAAAATTCTGGGTGACTACGTAGTGCTATTGATCTAAATTTTTTTGCTGTTCTTTTGGAAGCTACTTCTGTATGTTAAGAGTAAACTGTGTACCTTTATATACATCTTTAGGAATAAGAATTGCCTTCTTTAGAAGCACTCCTACTGACATAGATCCTGTACCAGATCTGACTGCCTTCACTGCTGCCTGTTTCATGGAATATTACATGTTTTATGTTGCTATTTTTAACTTATCACATCATTAAAACACTCCTGGAATTTATTTCTTTGAGGAGGAGAAGAAAGAAGAAAGAAAAGGAAGCAAACAATAACAAACACATATTAAAAAAAAAAAAAAAAAAGGAAGCAGAGGAAGAGAAGGGGGAGGAGGATAAGAAACCAAATACTCTATAGAAACAAAATGAAATCTAAAATGCCATATAAACTTTAAAAAATAACTTACCCACTACAGCTGTCCCTTGGTTCAGTGGTGGGGGAAAATTGGTTGGAGGATTCAATGCTATAGGGTCACATGAATTGTAATAAGAAAAGAGGGTTGTAGAAGGTGTAGGCAACAAAGAACAAGGAAAAACAGTTCCATCTTGCTTCTCTGGTAAATCAAGAGACATCTTAGAACCAGCACCACTTGGAGGCAATGATGAAAAATAAGGATCTTCTACTAAAGACATGTAAGAATATACACTCAAAGCACTAGAGTGATGCTGCTTTACATTAGAGGCATTACACATTTGGTGCTTAGAGTCACATGGCAATGAATAATTCAGTTCTGCTGAAGAAACTTGCATCACTTTTTGAGCCTGCAACTCTGCAAAACAAGAATCATGTGGTGGAGATTCCAAATAAGAAAAACTTTTCTTGATGTCCAGTTCCTTGGTTTCTCTCTGCTGTATCAATTCAAAAGGAGTTGATTTAGTCCGTATTATTGGCCCCTTTGAATTAAAATATCTTCCTGCTGCATTTACAGGTTTAGAATTAGGACATTCCCCAAACAAAATGGAGCTCAAGTCCAAACTTTGATGCTTCTGAAGAGGTTCCCCAACTATTGAAAATGGCTTTGTCATAGTTGTGTCAGAGTTTTTGTTACAACCATAATTCAGCTCCAAAAAGTCAAAAGAAGTGCTCGATTTAGCAGGGTATAAAACTAACCCTTCTTTTGCACTTATTTCAGAAGTCCTAAATTCAAAGGAAGAAGCTTCTGCATTTTCTACCTTTGTCCTTTGTTTGCTCTGTTGGCTTATTACTTTTGCTGCTTTTATGGTGCTAAAAAAAAAAGAGAGAGTAATGATAACACCATACCCCAAAGAGGCCTCTTCCCAGCATCACAATGAAGCATAAGCATGAGATTCATCTCCCAGACACAATTAGACAGTTTTTAGATATGTAAAATTGAACTCACCATTTTGGTAAACTAGGAGAATAAGAGTCTGCTTGTGGAGTGGGATTTTGCTCAGGAATTGAATTCTTTGCTTGAATCTTAAAAAAAAAATAGAGATTGGTTTTAGTGAAGCAATGTCAGTGACATATTTTAACACTCAGAAGGCTGAACAGTAATTTTTCAGAAAATATAAGGATTTAAAATAATTCATGAAAGGGTTAGATGAGCTTCCAAAATATTGAACCCAGTAAGAACTTGTTCCTATACTAAGTTTGAAAGGTCAGAATAAAGGTTTAATAGTGTTATAGACACTAGAAAGGATTTATTTATAGCACCATCTTTTAAAATGTGAGAGTTTTAAAATGTTCTTGGCAATAACGCAGTCTCAAGAACACTCTACCTTCAGAAATTTCAGCGTCTGAGCTATAAATGTTAATAGGTGTTTATTAGGTCCCTGTGCCTATCTCATCTTGTTCTACTCTTTTTCTCCTCATATGCTCCAGGTATACTGGGGTTTTTTGACATTCTTTTAGCATGCCAAACACCCTTCTAATTCAAGGCTTTTACACTTACTATTATTCCCTCCAATTGATATACACTTGCTCCAGATTTTGCATGGCTTACTCCTAAGTAATTTGACCTCTTCTTAAATGTCATCCTCATAAGGAAAACTTCCCTGACCCACCAACCTAAAATCACACTCCCACACCTGCTCAGCCACTCTCAACCTTTATTTTCTTTATAGTAAAGTCACATTATGAAATTTGTTACTGTGCTTCATGGAATCTTAAGATACCATTAGTTGTAAAAATACATCCTGATTTTGGAAATGCTAAAATGTAAAAAAAAAAAAAATTACAATTTTTTTTTCCTTTTTGTCTTTTTTCGTGACCTGTAATGGGATCGCAACCCTCAGTGTCGTGCCCGCACCGCGCTCAACCAGTGAGCAGACCGGTTTCTATATGGGATCCGAACCCTTGGCGGGAGCGCCGCCGCACTCCCAAGCGCCACACTCTACTGAGTGCGCCACCGGGCCGGCCCCAAAAATTACAATTTTAAGATATTAGCTGTTATGGGTTTAATTGTGTCTCCTCCAAATGGTATGTTGAAATCTAACCCCTGATATCTCATGAATGTGATCTTATTTGGAAACAGGGTCCTTGCAAATGTCATTAATTAATATGGGGTCATACTGGATTAGGGTGGTACAGTGAATTGTGTCCTTATGAGAAGAGAAAACAGAGATGCATAGGGAGAACACCAGGTGATAATGGAGGTGGAGATTGGAGTCAATATCTGCAAGCCAATGAATGCCAAGGATTGCCAACAAACACAGAAACTAGGAAGAGGCAAGGAAGATTCTTCCTCTAGCTATCAGAGAAAACATGGCTCTGCCAACACCTTGACTTCAGACTTCTAGCCTCTAGAACTGTGAGAGAATAATTTTCTGTTGTTTTAAGCACTCCAGTTTATAGTACTTGCTACAGCAGCCCTAGCAAACTAATAGAGAGATTTCCATACACCACTTTCAATAATGGATAGAAAAATTGGACAGAAGATTGATAAGGAGATAGAGGACTTAAAAACACTATAAACCAATTAGACCTAACAGACATATATAGAACACACCAGCCAACAACAGCAGAATACACATTCTTCTCACATACACATGAAACATTCTCCAGGATAGGCCATATGTTAGGTCACAAAACAAGTCTTAATAAGTTTGAAGAGACTGAAATAATGCAAAGTGCCTTTCCTGATCACAACAGAATGAAGCTAGAAATCAATAACATAAGGAAAACTTGAAAATTCACAAATATGTGGAAATTAAACAACACACTCTTATACAATTCATGGGTCAAAGAAGAAATCACAAAGGAAATTAGAAAATACCTGAGACAAATGAAAACAAAAATACAACAAAACAAAACTAATGAGATACAGTGAAAGCAGTGCTAAGAAGAAAATTAACAGCTATTAATGCATATATTACAAAAGAAGGAAGATCCCAAATTGATAACCTAACTTTACACTTTAAGGAACTAGAAAAGGAAGAGGAAAGCAAATTCAAAGCTAGCAGAAGGGACCGGTTCCCACTCACTAGTTGAGCGAGGCACGGGAGCAACGCCGAGGGTTGCGATCCCGTTGCCGGTCCCTGGTCCGGTACGGGGGCAACACTGAGGGTTGTGATCTGTTGCCGGACACGGAAAAAAAAAAAAAAAAAAAAAAAAAAAAAAAAAAAAAGCTAGCAGAAGGAAGGAAATATTAAAGATTAGAGTGGAGATAAAGGAAATAGAGACTAGAAAAAGTAGAGAAACTCAACAAAACTAAAAGTTTATTCTTTGAAAAGATCAACAAAATTGACAAACCTTTAGCTAAATGGACTGAGAAAGAAAGAGGATTCAGATTACTAAAATCAGAGATGAAATTGTAGTCATTACTACCAATATTACAGAAATAAAAATTATAAGAGAATACTATGAACAAATGGTGCATTTGTTGGTATGCCAACAAATTGGATAACCTAGATGAAATGGACAAATTCCTAGAGACATACAATCTACCAAAATTAAGGAAGAACTAGAAAATCTGAATAGGCCTACAACTAGTAAGGAAATTGAATCAGCAATCAAAAACCTCCTGACAAAGAAAAACCCAGGAACATTCATTCATTCGTTAATGGATTAAAAAACTGTGGATTATATACATAATGGAATACTATTCAGTTATAAAAAGAAAGGATATCAATTTGCAGCAACATGGATGGAATTGGAAACTGTCATGCTAAGTGAAGTAAGTCAGGCACAGAAAGACAAATACCCCATGGTCTTACTCATGTAGAATCTTTTTTAAAAAAGTGGTTCTCATAGAAGTAGAGAGTATAATAATGGTTACTGGGGGAAGAGGGGGTGGAGAAGGGGTGGATTAACAGGCACAAAATTATGCTGTATACCCTAAGTGATTCATTGTGTAGTATATGCATGTATTGAAACAACACACTGTATCCCACAAAAATAAATATAAATAAAATTTAAAAGATAAAAAAAATTAACTTTAAAAATAAAAAAATTAAATAAAAGATAATTATTTGTTTAAAAAAGAAAAAGAAAAGAAAAACCCAGGAACAGATGGCTTCACTTATGAATTCTACCAAACATTTAAAGAAAAATTAACACCAATCCGCCACAAACTCTTCCAAAAAATTAAATGGGAAGGGATATTTCCTAAGGCATTGTATGAAGTCAGCATTACCCCAATGCCATAGCCAGACAAAAACAGTACAAGGAACAGAAAACTACAGACCAACTTATTTTATAAATATTGATGTGAAAGTCTTCAGTAAAATACTAGCAAACCAAATTCAGCCACATAATACAAGAATTACACACCATGACCAAGTGAGATTTATTCCCAGAGTGCATACAAAAATTAATCTAATTCACCACATGAATAAGATGAAGGGGAAAAAGCCCATGTGATCATCTCCATTGATGGAGAAAAAGCATTTGACAGAATTCATGATAAAAAACTCTTAACAAACTAGGAATATAAGGAAATTTCCTCAACATGACAAAACCCAGGAAAACCCACAGCTAACATCTTACTCAATGGTGAAAAATTGAAAGTTTTTCTCCTAAAATCAGGAACAAGATAAGGATGCCAACTTTTGCCACTTCTGTTCAACACAGTACTGAAGTTCTAGGCTGAACAATTGGCAAGACAAATAAATAAATGGCATTCAAATTGGAAAAGAGAAAGTAAAATTATTTCTATTCTCAGATGAATGATCTTATATATAGAAAAATTTCACCAAAAAAACTGTTAGAGCTTGTAACAAGTTGCAGGATACAAAATCAATACACAAAAACCAGTTGCATTTTTATACATTAGCAATGAACAATCTGAAAAGAACATTAATAAAACAATTCTCTTTACAATGCCTTCAAAAATAATAAAATAGTTAGGAATAAATCTATCCAAGGAGGCAAAAGACTTGTATATTGAAAACTACAAAGCATTGCTGAAAGAAATTAAACAAGACATAGATAAATAGACATTCCATGTTCATGCAATTAAAGACTTAGTATTGTTAAGATAACAATACAATCAAAGTGATCTACAGGTTAACTGCAATCTTAAAAACCCAAAAGCATTTTTACAGAAATAGAAAAACTCATCCTAAAATTCATATGGAATTTCAAGCAACACCAAATAGCCAAAACAATCTTGAAAAAGAAGAGTAAAGTTGGAGGACTCACACTTTCTGATTTCAAAATTTACTACAAAGCTACAGTAATCAAAACAGTGTGGTACTGGCATTGGATTGACCAATGAGATAGAACAGATGGCCTAAAAATAAACCCTCACATATGTGGGCAATTGATTTTGGACAAAGGTACCAAGATCATGCAATAGAAAAAGGACAGACTTCAACAAATGGTGCTGGGAAAACTGGATATCCCCATGCAAAGAAGAAGTTAAACACTTATATTACAAAATATATAAAAATTAACTCAAAATTATCGAAAACCTAGTTGTAAGGAACTGAAACTATAAAACTCTTAGAAGAAAACATAAGCTTCATAATATTGGATTTGGCAATGATTTCTTGGATATGACACCAAAGACATGGGCAACAAAAGAAAAATAGACAAATTGGACTTCATCAAAGTTCAGAACTTTTATACATCAAAGGACACAATCAACCGAGTAAAAAGGCAACTTACAGAATAGGAGACAATATTTGCAAATCACATATCTGATAAGGGATTAATATCCAGAATATTTAGAGAACTCCTTAAACTTAACAACAACCAAAAAACCACCCAATTAAAAAATGGGCAAAGGACTTGACAAGACATTTTTTCAAAGAAGATATGCAAATAGCCAATAAACACACAAAAAGATGCTTAACATCACTAATCATTAGGAAAATACTAATTAAAAGCACAATGAGATACAAGTTCACACCAGTAGGATGGCCACCATAAAAATAAAGAACAAGTTTTGGCAAATATGTAGAAAAATTAGAACCCTTATGTACTGCTAGTGGGAATGTAAAATAGTGCCGCTGCTATAGCAAACAGTATGATAGTTCCTCAAAAAACTAAACAGAATTACTACATGATCCAGCAATTCCACTTCTGGGTATATACACAAAAGGATTGAAAGCAGGGACATGAAGAGATATTTGTACACCCATGTTCATAGCAGCATTACTCACAATAGCCAGAAGGTGGAAGCAACACAAGTGTTCAATGATGGATGAATGCATAAACAAAATGCAGTATATGTTTTCAATGGAATATTATTTAGCCTTACAAAGGAAGGAAATTCTGACACATGTTACAAGATGGATGAACCTTGAGGACATTAGGCTAAGTGAAATAAACCAGACACAAAAGGACAAATATTGTATGATTCCACTCATAGGAGGTACCTAGAGTGGTCTAATTCATAGAAACAGAAATGATGGTTTCCAGGGGCCAGTAGGAGGAGAAAGTGGGGAGTTATTGTTTAATGGGCGCAGAGTTTCTGTTCAGGATGATGAAAAAGTTCTAAAAATAAATAGTAGTGATGGTCTCACAACATTGTGAATGTACTCAATGCCAGTCCATCGTACACTTAAAAATGGTTGAAATGGTAAATTAAAATTATATATTTTATCTCAATAAAAAATTTTAATTGGAAAGTGTCTCCTCCTCTTCTATTTCCTGGTACAGACTGTATAAAATTTGTATTAATTCTTACTTAAACATTTGGTAGGATTCTCCAGAGAAACTATGTGGGCCTGGAAATTTCTTTTTGGGGAGTTTTTAATTACAAATCCAATTCTCTTAATCATTAAGGGGCTATTCAGATTACCTATGTGGTAGGTTGTGTTTTTTGAGAAAGTAATCCATTTTGTCTAAGTTGCTAAATTATGTGTGTAGAAATGTTCATATTATTTCTTTATTATCCTTCTGATATCTTCAGGGCCTGTAGTGATAGCTCCCTTTAATTCCTAATATTAGTCATTTTTTTCTCCCTTTTTATCTTTGTCAGTCTTCTTAGAGGTTTGTCAATTTTATTGATCTTTTCAGAGAACCACCTCTTCAATTCACTGATTTTCTCAATTGTTTTCTGTTTTCTATTGCATTGATTTCTGCTCTTTATAATTTTCTTTTTCTATATTCTTGAAGTGGAGCTTAGGTTATTGACTTGAGAGTTTTACTATTTTCTAATGTATGAACTTAGTGCTATAAATTTCCCTCTCAGGACTGCTGTAGCTCTGTCCCATTGATTTTGATATTTTGCATTTTTATCTTTGTTCAGTTAAAAGTTTTTTTTTTTTAATTTCCTTTGAAACTTCTTTGACTCAATGGATGATTTAGAAGAGTGTGGTTTGGTTTCCAAGTGTTTGGATATTTTCCCGTTATCTTTCTGTCACTGATTTCTAGTTTGATTCCATTGTGGTCAGAGAATACATTCAATATGATTTCAATTATTTTAAATGTTTGAGATTTGTTTTATGGCTCAGGATATAGTCTCTCTTGGTATAACCCCATGGGCGATGGAAAAGAATGTATATTCTTGTGTTTGGGGGTGGAGTGTTCTATAAATTCAGTCCTGTCAGTTGATGGTGTTGCTGAGTTTGCCTATATCCTTGCTGATTTTGTGTTCTATCAATTGTTGAGAAGGGGGCATTGAAGTCTCCAACTATGACTGTTATAATATAATCATCTTAAATATTTCCTCTGAAAAAATTCTTTATAAAATAGAAATCAATTAATTTTCTTCAAACAATAAAAAATTAGTATTTCCAATCAAAAGTCAGCATCATGCTTAGTAGTGAAGCACCATAATCTTTCTCATTAAAATTAGCATATCTGTATCACCTCTATGATTTAACATTGTTCTGGGAGTACTAGCCAATGAAATAGGAATGAATATGAAATAAGTAACAATTAGCAACTATACTCATATTCCACATTCCTTCACCATATTGTTTCTCTGGAGTCAACATTAACTATAGGATTCCTTAATTAATTTCCTAGCCCCAACAGTTTTTTCTAGCTTTCTTCCCTTCCCCATCCACCTATTTTGCTGAGGTCTCAGCAAACTTCATCACTCAATTGGGTGGGAATTATAATCAGGGCCATGTCTTGTACACTTTGTATTCCTAATGCTGAAAAACTGTAGAACCTCATTGATTATTTTCAGATTAATAATCAAAAATGTAATATTAAAAATTGAAATGTATATGTTACATTATGTACACTCTGGAAGGTAAATCACTAATTTTGTGTTCTTAAGGTTTGTTCAGAACCTAACACTTTGTGATTACACAGTATTTGACATCAATTTCTGTGATAAGATCAAAATTGCATATGCTAAAATTCTCGACATTTTTTAAACTGGCATTTGGTCAAATCATAGTTTTTATATCTTAGAACTTCAGCAAAAAATCCTTTGGCTATTCTTGCAATTTGATGATGCAAGGAATCAGTCAACAGAGTAAAGGGTGACCTATGAAATGCAAAGAAATATTTGTGAACCATACATATGATAAGGAGTTAATAGAAAGTTAATAAGGAAGTCAGTAGAAAGAAAACAAATAACCCAATTAAAAAATGGGCAAAGGACCTGAAAAGACATTTCTGAAAATGGTTAAGAGGCATATGAAAAATGTTTAACATTGCTAATCATCAGAGAAATACAAACTAAAACCACAATGAGATATCATTTCACGTTTGTTAAGATGGCTGGCTATCATCAAAAAGACAAGACATAAGTGTTGACACTTGTATACTGTTAGTGAGAATGTGTCTTAATATAGCCAATACAGAAAACAGTATGGAGGTTCCTCAAAAAATTAAAATTAAAAATAAAACTAACATATTCATAAGATCCAGCAATTAGACTTCTGGGTATATATCCAAAGGAAATGAAATCAGTATGTCAAAGAAATATACTCACTCCTATGTTCACTGCACTATGGTTCAAAATAGCCAAGACATGGAATCAACTTAAGTGTCCATCAATGGATGAATGGATAAAAAATTGTGGTATATATACACAATGGTATACTAAAAGAAAGAAACCTGCCATTTGTAACAACATGGATGAACCTGGAGGACATTAAGCTAAATGAAATAAGCCAGGCACAGAAAAACAAATACTGCCTGATCTCACTTATATGTGGAATCCAAAAAAGTCCAAGTTATAGAAGCAGAGAATAGAATAGCGGTTACTAGGAGTGGGAGAAGGAGGAAAGGATTTGGAGAGATGTTGGTCAAAGGATACAAAATTTCAGTTAGGAGGAATAAGTTCAAGAGATCTACTGTACAATGACTATAGTAACTATAGTTAATAATGATGTATTGTATACTTGAAAGTTGCTAAGGGAGTAGATTTTTAATATTCTCACCACAAAAAATAAGTACCTGTATGTGAGGTAATGAATATGTTAATTAGCTTGATGTAGTTATTCCACCATTTATACATATATCAAAACATAACATTGTACATCAGAAATACATACAATTTTTATTTATCAGTTTTAAAAAAGTAAAATAAGAAAATCTGATGAGACATTTGCAATCAAAATAAGGCTAGTGTAACCTGAAAAATTATTCAACTATGACTTCACTTTATATTTGTCACTCTCACATCTAACTTGCCACACAACTGTCCAAAACAAAAGAACAGAATGTATGCTTTTAGTTACTCCTATTGTTTCTAATTTAGCTAAAATTTGTTTACAATAGGTTAACCAAGAGACTAATTTTCTAAGTCAAATTACCTCAAATTAATTTTTCCTTCTCCACAGGAGATTTTCGGTGCAGCCCTATGCACACGTGACATTTCAACTTAGTCGTGACAGTAGATGAGTCCTGCAACTAATCTGAGATCCCTTGACCAAAAAGCAAGTATGAAAAAAAACTGACATAATTTCTAGTTTAAACTTTACCTCTGTTCCAGAATGTTTATCTCTAATAACATCCATCTGTCTCTTAAATAGTTCTAATACAGCACTGTAGACCAGTTCATACTGTTCCTGAAGAGCATCACAAACCGGGAACAAATGAAAAAAAAAGCAAAAAATAAAAATCTTGTTGAACTACAGAACCAAACTTCAGGAATATGACCACCAATCGAATCCTAATATAGTAGACCTGAAAGGACCATCAACATACGTTTTTAAACTTAATAACAATGCTTTATGTTTGTATAGCCCATTTCAGATTTCAGAACACTTTTAGGCTGCTAGAAATAGTTAAATATTTGATATACCTCTAGCTAATGTAGAAAGATCTTATGTTTCTTTTATGTTCTAACGCCACTTTCTTACTTATCTTTCCCTCTGTCATCATCCCTCCAATTCTGATTTCCTTGTCACATTTAAAAAATTTATTTCATCCTTGACACATTTTTTTGTAAGCCACTTTCATCTTTTCTGGAAAAAGGTAGATAGTGTTTGGTGTATAGATAGCTTAAATATGTACTATTTAACTTAACCCTCACAATTGTAGCTATAAAGTAGCTCAGCTATTATACCTATTGGCAGACAGTTTATGCAAGGTCATTCAAAAGTAATTCCCAGGACTTGGCTTAGAAACTGAATCATCTCTTAGTTTAGTAGGCTTAGATCAAGTTGCTGAAATTTTTTCCTAGTAAAGATATCAAAGAAAAGTAAACAATTGAATAAGGTTTGGAAATTTGTGGTTAAAAAAGGATTTTACCATAGAGAAATGAGACCTCTACTATTACAAAGTTTATGGGTTATTACTGCTGCATTTTTTCCTCTGTACCTGCTCTGCTCAAGCACTTGATTTTGGATCTACTTTTGATCTGAATGGGCCTATTCAGGATTTTCCCTGACACTTTACATAATTGTTTACAAATAAAGAATAGCTTTTTCCAAAGATAATTTTAGCAGAACAGTGGAGAGTCTATATCACCCAACACAGCCATTGGTACACACTCTTTAATTTTTTTAAGGGAGAAAAATCAGACAGGAAGCATTCATCTGGTTATAGTGTCATTTCCTGGTTAGAGTAGTGTTAGAAAAAGCAGCTACAACTGTTAAGGTATTTGTTTAACTAGTCGCTGATAATACCAAAATGTGAAAGCTTTTTCAGCTGTCTTCCAACTCTTAAAAGTAGGCCTGAAATGGAATTTTTCTGAAATGGGGTATGGTTTTATTTATTTAATATTACAGTTTATATAACTAGGTTGCATACTTCCTGGAGTCTTTATGTATTTACATGGATCAGAATTCTTTCATGTCTAACAGCACTAAACCAGCTAATGCTTTCATTTCACATAAACTTGCCCACTCACAGGTTGAATATAGAAAACACCTACAATCAACATGTGAAAAAAATTATTTTTTTCCACTAGCTATTAGTGGAAAACCTGTGTGGGCCAAACAGATAGGTTTATATTAGAATAGCTCTTCATTTTTTCCCTTCAATTCACAACTTCTAGATTAAAACATCTCAGCTGCCATTGTCAACTGATTTACCTCTAAACCTGTGTTCAAGTTTATTTGTAAGTTTTTTAAACACTTTGGGGTCGTGTTATTTAAGTAGTAACAGGTAGTTGTAACAAATTGTGCAAAAGTGTCTCTTACATAATAAATATCAATAAATATTTGATGAATGAATGAATGGGTGAATGGGTGAAGGCTAAATTCTATCTCAAAAATGGAGACCACTTAGAAATGTGGGTAAAATTATTGGAGTTGAAATATGGGTGAAATTAATATTGTAGACAGTGAGAGATTAGGATTAAGAAGAGAAGGTAAAAACATTCCTAATGGAGTGACTAAGTGTGGGCAATCGGATGGGTTAAAAGATTGTGATACATAATTATAGTATGATTGTAATTAAGTTTTTTTAGAGTATGCATATAATATGGACCAGCATAAACTACAGAAAAACAACAGTAGCTATCTCTAGGTGACAAAAATATGCTTGATTTTATTTTTATTTTACAGTGTTTCCTAAAATGAGCATATAGACTGCATATAGTTTCTGTTGCCACCTCATGAAGTAGAAATTATAAATCCCTGATTTTCTATGGTTTCAGAGATGGATTTATCACTACAAAATTTCAGGTTAACATGACCCTGCTATTTCTCTCTAATAAATTAAACAGCTTTATAAGTAAGAAATATTATATTGGTTTCTTAATATTTTCTGAACAGATGGTAAAATATAAGGAATGAAAGGAATTTGATCCAGGACAAGGGATACAAGAAAAATATTGGGATATTCAAAGTAATAAAAAATAGTAATGGACTTTAAAGCACTTAATAGTTGATTGTTGTATATGAGCAGTCAGCTATTTTTGGATGCCTTACCATTAAATATAGAAATGGAGCAAGACTCAGACAGAAGTTCTGATCCATTCACCATAGTCCATACCTGAGTTTGAACTAAAGAAGGCCTCTGTGTTCGCATTTCCTGGATCAAACAAAAAACACTGAAGTTCTCAGGAATTATCTATCAAATAAAAGGGAAAAAATCTTACTCCTTTTGATCCTTTTTTAATAAATTACTGCCATTTTCTCATAGTCTTGTACTTCCATGACATCTGCTCTCCTAACATGAAATAATATCAGAAAAAGAATGCATTTTTAAAACTAACGAAGTTTCTCATCACTTGCACCACAATTTAGAGCCTGATGTTTTCCCTAGAAAAGATCGAAGAAACTCTTCAGAATGATTTCATATGGAGTGATCAAATGTCTGCAACTAAAGGTATAATAAGGGACAAGACTCAGTAGATGAGCAAGTATGAGAGTTTTATGAAATTGAAGTTGGCAGATAGGTCTAATGCCCATATTTTAAACTTCCCATTTCTTATTGGACATTAAAAATGATTTATAGATTAGAACACAAAGTTTGATTGTGGTAAGTTGAGTCTAACTACTAAAGCCATTTGGATAAAGGAAGGGTAATTATGTGATTTAGGGCATTGGTTCTCAAACTTCAGCATGCATCAGAATCACCTGGAAAGCCTGCTGGGCCCTGACTCCAGAGTTCATGATTCAATCCATTGGGGTGGGGCCCAATAATTTGCATTTCTAACAAGTTCTCAGGCATGCTGAAGCTTCTTGTCTGGGGACCATACTTTAAGAACCACTAACTTAATAACTAATTGAATCATCTGACAGAGTGGGTCTACGAGTGAATTTTCTAGAAAAGATGAGTCATGGAGATGAACAACCAAACAATTCCTAAGTCTGAAAGCAATGGAATAAGCAAATGGGAAGTACATTCTGAGAGAAACTCACCCCATCTTTTAGTAACATCCATATATAATCAATAGCACAAATAACACCAGTTCTTCCACAGCCAGCACTGAAATGAAAGACCACAGTATCATATATAGACGGTAGATCGTAGACAGTAGCTGGAAAATTTTACCAGTAGATTTGAGAAAGAAAAAGCCTGGAAGCAATGAAACTTTTTCAAACCCTACCACTTCCCAGAGCACATTTGTCATGCCACAGTGAATCTTAGGACAGGTCCTAGGCAACTTCTCACAGCAAGAGTCTCTAGACCTGTGCCATTCACAAGTAACTAATCAGATAAATATGAACTTAATGCTTAGGTTGAAATTATTATAGTCTGTTTCTGCTGTTAAGCTTTCCCTTTCAGTTATAGAGCCCTGGCCATACTCTGACATCTGGTTTGTTTTAGATAGAAGCTTCATACACAGCATCATACCTGCAGTGAATGCATATGGGAACACTGTTGTCTTTTTGGTAACAACGCACATCCCAGATGAGCTCAAGAATGGGGTCTATAGATGAAGGCACATCATGGTCTGGCCAATTTGTATAATGAAACTGGTAGACAATTCGAATTTCCTACAAAAAAATAGACAGAATAAAAGGAGAGTTCAAGGTTAGGACTCCACCTCATTCTACCAAAAGATAAGTCTGACTTACTAATTTACATCTATTCCTTTTTGCAATTCATTCTGCTATCTTCTTTATATCTCAGGTGACCAGGTACCTTCTGAGAACAATTAAAAGTGATTTCAAGTCGCTTACTATTGGCTTGTCCCCATCTGCCTCATTCATAAGAGGAGGGACATGAAAATAGTCTAAATCAGAGCTGCCCAACTGGTGTGCCTCAAATGGGTGACAAGCATGCTGATATACTAAATCCCTTTGCCTTAGAGAGGCTGAGTAAGGCCTAGGGCAGCCTGAGCTCTCAAGTTGGTCCCCAGTCTCTATTTACTGTTCAGCCTCATATTCACCCTACAAATATTATCACTTTATGTGTGTGCCATGGTGTGAAATAGATTGGGGAGCACAGATTACACCAAAGATCTCTTGAATATGAAGACTTTTTCAGGACATCAAAGGCCCCATCATTCCCTATTGTCTTATGACCAGCCCGAGTCACACACTTATATGTTTACCTGCCTGATCTCTGTAGGCTTTTGAGTTTACCACTCCTGTTTTATACTTACACTATTGAACTTGACTTTTAGAATCCTGATTATATAATCGGATTTCCTTTTTTCAGCTTCCTAATAAGAAGAAGAATATTAAAATATTAGTAATTTCAAAGACAAGCTCTCTATAAAGTAGATCCTGGGGGCTTTGCTCAGCCATTATGGGAACAGGCATCATACTTACACATGATATGGAGAAAGGGCCAAATTGCAGCTGTCTCTCTCTTGGCTCAGCCCAGTAGCGCTCACACTTTTTCTGTTGCACAAAGCAGAATGTAGTGATTTCCCTCCATGTATTCTAGTCTCTTCTGGGAAATAAAATCTACTCCCTCATTTAGAAACAAATTCACCTCTGTGTCCTTCACCTTAGGGTTAGGCACTTCTAACCTCTTTGAGCTTCAACCCCAAGATGGTCTGGAATCTCCAGGGATGAGAAAACAAACATTAAAGGATATATAAACTATAGACTTCTTGGAAGTCTGAAAAAGTAGAAATAGGGATCTTTGATGTATTTTCAGTATTTCAAAAGGATTAACAGAAATTATATGTCTACTAAAACAGCTGTGCAAGCTAAGTGAAACACCATTTCCTTGATTTCGATTAGAATTGTCAACTGAGAATGGCAACAGTGAGTTAGAAAGTGATATCCAGAAAAGATGTAATGTGAGCCACGTATCTAGTTTTAAATTTTCTAATACTCACATTCAAAAGTGAAAAAGGTGAAATTAATTTTTATAATGTATCTTAGCCCAATATGTCAAAAATTTCAACATGTAATCAATATATGTTATTAGATATTTGACTTTTTTTTTTACTAAGTCTTTAAAATCTGGTGTGTATTTTATATTTACAGCTCATCTTAATTAGGATGCTAAATTTTCATTGGAAGTATTTTATTTCCATTTAGATTTCATAAAATTAACATTTGAAAAAGATTTACATAACCAAGTTGTTCCAAGCATACTTAAAGTTTTCCAATGACTGAATTGAGTACCAGTTTTTAAACTTAAACCAATTAAAATAAAATAAAATAATTGAGTTCCTCAGCCACACTAGCTATATTTTAAGTGCTCAATAGCTACATGTGGCTAGTGGGTGCCATGCTAGACAACACAGGTTTAGAAGCTCTGACTGGCTGTTAAAGATGTCTGATTAATAGAGATGGGAAAATGAACTGTTAGGTTAAAAAGCATACCTTGTTTTTACTTTAAAAGACAGAGTCTATAAAAATGGATAAAAGGGGTTCTTAGGGGTTTAACAAAAGAAAAACGAAAAACCTCTGAGAGTAATGTAGCATTCCCAAACTAAAAACTAGGAAGATGACATTATCCCCCCCCCCCATTTTCTTCTTTCCTTTACATTTAGGTCAGCAGGTACTACAAAGTAGCTCACCTTTCCCATTTCAAACTCCATGCATGCCATAACAATAATCTGGGGAGATGAAATAGATAGAAATTTGAACATCTATATAGTTACAAACAGCAGTTAACACATGAATTCCAGAGTCAGAAAGTGTTAATCATTCTTTTTCTGTTTTGTCTTGTTTGTTTTTCAACCAGAAAAGAAATCCTGATAACTCATAAAATATTGCTCTTACTCTTCCTTCTTTCTGTACCCACTTCCCTTTTCTCTATTCAAATCTGTAAATTCTTATTACCAAATGAGTCTGTCAAGGTGAGAACTTTCATTTCCTTGAACAAGAATGACATTTTGATTTTTACTGAAAGATCCCTGAACCCTGAAATTTCATCAGCTAATTTAAAAAAGCACTGATTTTAATTGATAAGAAACCGCAGTCACACGTCCTGACATCCTCTCCCCTCTGTCCCTAAGAACTAGAAAATAAAGTACCAAAAGCAACTCTGCACTTACCAGGACACTGTATTCCCAGATCATTCTCCAGAAGTCCAGGAGAGTTGTAGATAAAGGACCCTGTGTGGCAATGTAAGCCTTAGGTCCATAAACTCCCTAAAAGGGAACAGAAATTACATGTAATTATATGTAATTTACATGTAAATTACAAATAATACCTTCTTTTCACCTAGTTCTCCCCCCCCCAACACACTTTTTTTTTTTTTTAGGTAGCTGGAGAAATATTGAATGACTTTTTTTCCTTTCAGTGTACCTTAATAAAGTTGGCATTGATGTAGCTGGAATCCTCATCAGAGGTTATCAGGGATAGCTCTACCCGGCTATAATCATCTATAATAAATAAGAAAGACATAGTGTAATTAAGAGGCCTTAATCAGAAGGTTTACTGTAAGGGCATAACACTGTAAATACTGGATGTTCACAAGTGTTTGATGAGTGAGCAAGTGAATGAATGAATGAATGAATGAATGAATGAATACCATTTTTCAGTCATAAATAGTACAAACTAATTTGTCAATGCCATGTTTCAAGATTAGGAACAGCAAACAATGGGTAAGGAGCGATTGGAGCGATTGAATTTGGGAGAAAGTACAAGTTTATAGGGAGAAATGGAACTTACAGGGCAAAATATCCTTATATCTGTTTTTCTTTGTATTCTTGGGCCTCTCAGCCACAGTTGTAGGATAGGTTTTGTCTGCCTTGTATTTCATAGATTGCCTTTTCAGCTTCTGTAATAAAATTCCAAGAATAATTAATCTTCCTTGAGAAAGGAGGAAGAAAGCTATCTCTAGAGAACTTTCCTTCTCCACTGCCCAAAAATTCTCCCTCAACCCTTTTAGCATCCTCTGCTCTGGGGTTGACTCCATTCAAGACAGAGCTGCAGGGCATTAGAACAGCAGAGTTCAGTGACATTTGAAGAAGTGAAAAGATCACTTAACAGCAGCTGAGCCACAAATAGCTAAAACTTAGAGGTGAAGCTGGTGAATATTTTAAAAACCAAATGTCTTCTGAAAGCAAGTTATATGTTCCACCCAATAGAAAGATATTAAAATATTACTTGACTTTCTTTACAGCTGCTATTTTAATTCAGTAGTTGACAGGAAAGTTATAAGTTCCATTAATCTTTTTACTTTAGATCACTTTTTTTTCCAAGCGGAAATGGAGCTCAAGCTGAATAAAATCTCTATATATCTAGCAAAATTTACAAGATTTCAGTCCCAAAAGCAGTCTTTTTTTTATGTAACCCAAACTTCAAGCCCACCCCTCAACCAAACAATAATCTTTAAATAACATCATATTCAATTGGTAGAATATGATCTGGACCAGGCCAGAGCTAGCTTAATATGGTTGAACAACATTCCTTAAGATAATGAAGTAACTCCTTAAAATTATTCCCATTTTCCAATACTATACTATAGACAAAAACTTCAGGTAGAGGAAATGATAGTTCCTCTTTGGCTCCTTCTTAGAAATTAATCCTGCCCCAAATTTGGTTTACATCCCTTGTCATTTAAAGAAACCATATCTAATAGATCTGACTTTTTTGAACCCTTACTCAATTTGCAAAAGATGTCCATGGAGGAACATCTGTGATGATTAATAAAAATATTTGTTGAATTAAACTAAAGAAAATAATTTTCACTATTTACTAGTGAATTAGTCACAGAAAGAACATTAATTACCTCCGGCAGGCTAGGATCTACTCAGTCCTCATTCTCTTTAACTTCCTCTTGAAATTTCCTCCTCCCTTGGCTCTTATTAGTCTACTTTATCTTGGTTCTCCTCTTTCACCTCTGACTTCTTCTTCCCACTTCCTTTTATTGGCTCTCTGTCCTTTTCTATCTTCTAATTGAGAATTACCCAAAGTTCAAAAGTTAAATCCTCAACTCTGTACTTCTCTCTATATATACATTTCCTCAGAGATATCATATACTCTTATAGAAGACATGCAAGTGTTTGTTGACTTATTTAACTGATTCAGATTGAATTATATTTTCAGCTCCTATTGGGTAAGTCTCAACTTTCCATATCGAGATTTGACTACTAAATTTCAGCACTAAATTCCCAACCACGTCCTAGACATTTCTAGTTGAGTATCTTATTACAGTTTCAAACTCAGCACATTTAAAACTAAAATCATCATTATACCCACTTTACATGTCTTTATCCCAGACAACCATCTTCTAGAAACTAAGAGTCACTTTAAGTTCCCTCTGCCCATAATTCCCACCTTTAATTCAGTTAGCAAGCTCAACTGATTCTTCCCATGGAAAATCCTCTATCAGCCTTCCTTCCTATGTCCACTACAGATACCTTAGTTTAGGTCCTTTGCCTTAAAGCTTGAATTATCACAGTTACTTCTCAATTCATCTTTACAAATTTCTGTCTTTCTCCATTGAAATCCATTAGACATAATTATGCCAAATTAATTTTACTAAAATACTGCCTTCCTTATCTCTCCCGTTCTCAAAACTACTTCAGTGAATCCCTTTTGCCACAAGGACAAAAAATCCAAAATCCTTAGCCAGGTACATAAGGCTCTCCCCAGTGGGATCCAGAGATAAATTTCCAATATTTCTCACTGTCCTCCAATTATGTGGTTTCTAAAGATGACTTCTAAGTTCTTTCAAGATTGTACAAATTGATGTCACTGACGATTATGTGTAATAAGATTTTCTTAAAACTAGGGCTTTCCTTTACTTTCTCATAAATGTATCCCTGGTACTGCTTTTTCATTCCTCAGCATGATGATGGTCTATTTTGTCCACAGGGTGAACTAATAAACACAAGTAAGGAAATAAAGAACTTTTCTCAAGTAACTAATGACAGGAAAAAATTTTAAAAGAAGGGTATTGTTATTACTGTTACTTAGTTGCTTATATTTCGTATAGTGTTTTCACATACAGGCATAACTCAGAGATATCGAGGGTTCAGCCCTGGACTACTGCAATAAAGCAAATATCGAAATAAAGCAAGTCGCACAAATTTTTTAATTTCCTAGTGCATATAAAAGTTATGTTTATGCTATACTGTAATTTATTAAGTTGCAATAGCATTATGCCTGAAAAAACAATGTATATACCTTAATTTAAAAATATTTTAATGCTAATAATCATCTGAGCCTTCAGTGAGTTGTAATCTTTTTGCTAGTGGAGGGTCTTGCCTCAGTGTTGATGGCTGTTGACTGATCAGGGTGGTGGTTGCTGAAGGTTGGGATGACTGTGGCAATTTCTTAGAATAAAACAACAGTGAAGTTTGCCACATTGATTGACTCTTCCTTTCATGAAAGAGTTCTCTGTAGCATGTTATGCTGTTTGATAGCATTTTAACCATAGTAGAACTTCTTTCAAAATTGGAGTCAGTCCTCTCAAACCCTGCTGCTGCTTTATCAACTACGTTTATTTAATATTCTAAATCCCTTGTTGTCAATTAAACAATGTTCATGGTATCTTCACCAGGAGTAGATTCTATCTCAAGAAACCACTTTCTTTGCTCATCTGTAAGAAGCTACTCCTTATCCATTAAAGTTTTATCATGAGATTGAAGCATTTCAGTCACGTCTTCAGGTTCCACTCTAATTCTAGTTATCTTTCTAGTTATCTTACTATTTCTACCACATCTGCAATTACTTCCTCCACTGAAGTCTTGAACCCCTCATGTCATCCACGAGAGTTGGAGTCAACTTTCAAACTCCTCGTTACCACGATATTCTGACCTCCTCCCATGAACCAGGAATGTTCTTAATGGCATCTAGAATGGTGAATCCTTTCCAGAAAGTTTTCAATTTACTTTGTCCAGATCCATGAGAGGAACCACTGTCAACGGCAGCTAAAGCCTTAGGAAATGTGTTTCTTAAATAATAAGACTTGAAAGTTGAAATGACTCCTTGATACATCGGCTGCAGGATGGATGTTGTGTTTGCAGGTATGAAAACAACATTAATCTCCTGGTACATCTCCATCAGAGCTCTTGGGTGACAGTGACCAGGTGCATTATCAATGAGCAGTAATATTTTGAAAGGAATCTTTTTTCTGAGCAATGGGTCTCAACAGTGTGCTTAAAATATTCAATAAACCATGTTAGAAACAGATGTGCTGTCATTCAGGCTTTGTTGTTCCATTTATAGAGAACAAGTAGAGTAGATTTAGCATAATTCTTAAGGGCCCTAGGATTTTCGAAATTGCAAATGATCATTGACTTCACCTTAGACTCACCAGCTGTTATTAACCCCTACCAAGAGAGCCAGTCAGCCTGTCCTTTGAAACTTTTTTTGAGGGGTGGGGTTGTTTGTTTGTTTGTTTATATGTGTATATATATATACATACATGTGGGGTACAATGTTGATTTTCAAGAATTGTGTAGAATGTGTGGTGGTTAGATCAGTATAGTTAGCTTATTCATCATTACAATTTGCAATCATTCTTTGTGTCCGTTGACCAAATCCTCATTAGCCCCCCTCCCTCTCCCCTCCCCTCCCCTTTTTCACCTCTAGTTTTCTAAAAGTTCACGGTATTACTGTGATTGTTTCTTTCTCTCTTTCTTTCTTTCTTTCTTTCTTTCTTTCTTTCTCTTTCTTTCTTTCTCTCTCTCTCCCTCCCTCCCTCCCTCCCTCTCTCTCTTTCTTTCTGTCTTTATTGTTCATTTGTTTATTTATAAATTCAGCTCCCAGTTATGAGTGAGAACATGTGGTATTTCTCTTTTTGTACCTGTGTTGTTTCACTTAGAATAATTTTCTCCAGGCTCATCCATGTTGTTGCAAATGGTAGAACTTCATTCTTTTTATGGCTGAGTAGTATTCCATTGTGTATATATACCAGAATTTCCTTATCCAGTTATTCATTGATGGAAATTTAGGTCGGTTCTATCACCTAGCTATTGCAAATAGAGCTGCAATAAACATGGGAGTGCAGGTATGCCTTCAACCTGATGTTTTCCAATCCTCTGGATATATCCCCAGGAGTGAATTGCTGGATCATATGGAAGTTCTATTTGTAGTTGTTTAAAGAAACTCATACTGTTCTCCACCATGGCTGTACTAATTTACAGTCCCACCAATAATGCAAGAGGGTTCCTCTCTCTCCACATCCTCATCAGCATTTGTTATTTTCTTTTTTATAATAGCCAGTCTGTTTGGGGTGAAGTGATATCTCAGAGTGGTTTTGATTTGCATTTCCCTGATGATTAGTTATGTTGAGCATTTTTTCATATACTTGTTAGCCATTTGTATGTCTTCCTTTGAGAAATGTCTAATCAGCTCTTTTGCCCATTTTTTAATTGGATTATTTGGGTTTTTGCTGTAAAGTTGTCTGAGCTCTTTGTATATTCTGGATATTAATCCCTTTTCAGATGCATTTTTTGCAAATATTTTCTCCCATTCTGTAAGATGTCTTTTCACTCTATTGATTGTTTCCTTTGCTGTTCAGAAGCTTTTTAGTTTGATATAATCCTACTTGTTGGTTTTTTTTCTTTTGTTGCCTGTGCTTTTGGGGTGTTATTCATAAAGTCATTGCCTAGTCCTAAATCCTGGAGCATTTCCCCTATGTTTTCTTCTAGGAGTTTTAAAGTTCCAGGTCTTATATTTAGATCTCTAATCCATTTTGAGTTGATTTTGGTATATGGCGAAAGGTACAGATCAAGTTTCATTCTTCTACAAATGGATATCTAGTTTTCTCAGCACCATTTATTGAAGAGGGAGTCTTTTCCCCAATGTATGTTCTTGGTGCCTTTG